GTCCTTTCCAACCCAAACCACTCTATGATGATTCTATGATTCTGTGATCTGTACACCTTTGTCCAGATGGTGCAAGATATGTTGGAGAGACCAGGGGCCTGACAGGTGTCTCACTGAGGTGAACGATGCTCTCATACATTGGGAATACATACACAGGTGGTAGTGGTGCTTTTTGTGTGTTTTGGATGTGCATTTTCCTGATACCAAGGATGGGAATGGAACTATAAGCAATATCGCCATGAGAAGTGACAGAAAATTATGGGAAGATGGTGAAGGAAAAAGTCCTGTAGCAATACATACAGTAGGTTATATCTGGACACCCAGAGGGTTCAATTATGTGCACAATATAAAAAGGGAAAAAAGTACTAAATAATCTTGTGATTTTGAGCCATTGATTCTGATTCAGAAAGAGCCAAGTCTGAAAAATATCAAGTGCAAACACGGCAAGAGACAAAAGAGGGTGAGAGAATAAAGTAATTATAATCCTATTTTTTAATGCCAGGTTCTGCTACTGAGGTCTCATCAGTGACTCATCTCATTCCCCAGCATCTTCTGAATAACCTGGCACGATATGAATTAAGGGTGACACTCTATATTGTCTCCTGATGGACATTTTACTTTGTCCTTTTCTCCCCTCACAGGTAAAGGCTGAAGAGGGAAAAGAAAAATTAGAATCACCTGAAACCAGTATCAGAGCTGAAAGATACCAGTCTGCTTCCTCAAACTACCTCAGCATCAGCATCCCGCATACTGTTGTGGCACCTGGAGATACTTTACACATCACCTTGAATGATGTTCATCAGTCTGGCAGTGGAAGGATTGACTATTTCTATTATATGGTAAGCAGAATAGTAGCATATCAGTAATTTCTTTTAGGAATTATACAGCCCAGAACATCTGTCTAGTTACTAATACACAGGAAAGCAGAGGGGGACCAACAAAGGGTGACCAAAATGATGTGTCCTAGCACACCTGACCTACCAAGAGAGGTTGAGGGAAGTGGGCTTGTTCAGTTTGGTGAAGAAGCTAAGTGTGAGTTAATAGCAACCTAAAATTACTTGAAGAGGAATTACAGATGAATAATGGAGACAAACTTTCCTAGGTGGTGCCATGCAATATAACAAGGGACAAAGGTTACAAATTATGGCCTGAAATGTTCATTTTGGATAATTCTTTTCGCTAGTGATGAATGCAACACTGGAAGAGGTTCCCCAGAGGGTTTAGGGAATTGCCATCCTCAGAAGCATTCAACCCTCTTTGCGGCATATTAAGGCATAGACTCCGATGGAGGGTGAATCAGAATCAGAATCATTTATTGTCCTTTTACATCAGTCTTCATAGTCTAGGCAGCTCCACGTGTATGTGATGCGAGCAGTACTTCTATTGCTTAACTACTATTGTCCACGCACCCTGATTAGCTTAACGATTGACTGAGTCCTATCTTCTACATTCTTGCTGTGTTTGCTACTTCTCATTGTTTTCTGCCATGTCTATCTTCTTCTGTGTTTGCTTCCTTCAAAGGCAGAGCTTCATATCTTTGAGGTCAAAACTTAATCCAATTTCTTCTTGTTCTCCTACACCCCTCAACTAGAGAAAACCACATCTAACATGATGTAATGATGGTGATGGGTCATCTTTGAGCAGGCAGTTGGACTAGAGATCTCCATAGTCCCTTCCAGAAACAATTTCTATGATTCTGTTATTTTTTATGTATTTGTATATATTTTTGGGTATACAATATGTAAATATTTGTATTTTTTTTTCTGAAGTAATACACGTAAGTACAAATTTTGTTGTGTTTCTAATACAATCTAGAGCAGATAGGTCCATATGGGTAATGCTTGTCCATATAATTATGTGGGTGTATGTCTTTTTGAAAAATGCTAAACTGACAGCCTTAAAAGCTGAAATTCTAGACAGATGACTTTATTAATTCTGTGATAATTTGATTTCTCATAATCCAGTTCTCATTCTTTCCCACTCCTTCCAGTATGTATTCTGTCCTTGTAATAAGCCAATATTAAATTATATTTTTATTGGTCTGATTCTTGTAAATACCTTTCAGCTATTACAGAACTACCCACCTTCATCTGGGTAGACCATACATACACATAAGATTCTGTCCCTGCACCTAGAAAACGTAGTTGTATTCTAGGGGACCTTGAATATCACAGAAAATCCTTTTTGTAGTTAATTGTTGTTTATTTCATGAATAACACATTATTCTTATATTACCCTGGCTCCATATTACCTGCACCTGATGTTAGACAACAGGTAGGTCACTTTTATCTCCAACAGCTGATGTAATGAAGGATCACTGAAGGCACTGGCTGTTGTGGCCCTAAATAGCCTCCTGAAACTGGGTCTGAAAGCAGTTCTATAGGTAGAAGAGCCAGGAAACAATCCTACTCAGCCTGGGATAAGGAATGCAAAGAATTTATTTTGCAGAAGACAAATGTGTTCACGGGCACATTCCAGGAGTGAATCTGTTGAATGTCAAATGTGTTTAAATCCTGTTTTCCCTTTCTTTGTTATAATTTCCCTTGGCAGCGTAAATTTCCCAGGATGATAAGCACCAAGGACACCAGTTCCCATTTACTTTTAATAGGACTTTGATACGTTGGAATAATTGTATGCCTAGAAGCTAAATTTAGGTTTGGGGGTTTATTTTAATTGGATGTCTTAGCATAGGGCTGGAATTGCCACTGCCAGGCTCTGGGAAGGTGCAGTGCTGGGCAGGGAGAGTGCGTGGGAGGTGTGGTGGGAGACACTGTTGGAGCACAGCGATGAGGCTCTCCTCCAAACTTTGTTCACCTAAGCAAAGGCAGCAAGGATTTCAGAACAGGTTGCAGCATGTCTTTGTTTCTTCCCAAAGGGAAGAATGCTATTAGTCCTGCCACTGTGTCTGTTTTCCACTCCTCTGACAACCCATGGGTTTAATTCACATCACATGGGAAGAAAGGAATTAAACAGTGCAGGACACAGGACCAGTGCAGCAGAGGCTTACCACCACGCTCCAGTGCTAGAGGCACTGTGTGCTGGTCTCCTCCAGGCTACTGGCATGCAGGTTGGGAATTCAAACTCTTAGGTGCCATTAGAAGATAATAAATTTCAAATAGAAATGGCCTCAGAAAATTTTATATATGTATATAAAATTATTCAACATAATGCCCAGTAGAGTGTGTATTCAAAATACAAGATTTCTGTTTGTTTCTGCCTTGCAGGTTGTGGCAAAGGGACAAGCTGAGCTTTTGGAAAGGGTCCCCTCGTCAAACAAAATAATAAACCTTAAAATCACTGAGAAGATGGTGCCTGCCTTTCGCTTTTTAGCTTACTACTTCATTACAAACAAGGACCGTCAAGAGATTGTTGCTGATTCTGTATGGGTGGATGTTATGGATGTCTGTGAAGGAAAGGTACTGTCAAAGAAAGCAGCTTCTGTTATTGTATTCCAAAATAAAAACAAAAACATGGTGTATCGGCAAAGTGAGTGCAGGCCTGGGGTTAAGAAGTGAAAGACATGATAGATACTTGCATTTATATTGAAAAAGGGAGTTGTCAGGACTCTTGCTAAAAGGTATTGCTGGAGAGATGGTAGAGATAGTCTTCTTCCATAGGACAGGTTGTGCCTCAAAGAAATGAAAAATGGAGTTTCATATAGATAAATCCCCCTCTGCAAGTGTCTATATATTAGAAATCCACAGGAAAACACTAATAGACCTGTTGAGGAACAGAACCTCTTTATAGCTTTATGGTTTTGTAGTGATTTTTCTCAAATGAAAGAAAGTGAAGCAGTTTATTGGAAATTTTTTTTAAAGGAATTTGAAGTCATTTTTCAAGCTTTTTCATTACTGTTAAGAGTAATTTCCTGAGATTTTGTAGCACTTCAAAAGCACTTTAAAAAAAAACCAAAAGTTCGCATTAGAAAATGAAGTATGGCCAAAATAGGAGTTCCTCTAAGCCTTTCTTTCACCTTCTTCCTCCTCCTCCTTTTTGGTACCATAAAGTAAAAAGGAAAAAAATAAGACAAGAGAATTTTTCCCAATAACATGAAACACAACTGCTGAAAAGTGTCAGCCATCTAAAATGATTTTTTTACTCCTGAAAATGTTTGTTGTGGAAAAAGAAGTTGATAGTACATGGGGAAATAAGTTTGGAAGAAAAATTATCTATCTCTAACACACAAGCCAATTCTTCATTCATAAGATAACAAAACCCCGGAAAATTCAAGCTGGCATTTCTATTAATAATACCCTGTTTATCTCATAATCACCATGGCTACTTCTTCCTAAACCACACAAGTGTCTGCATCAGATATGCACCAGATCTGAACCCAATCATGTTGAAAAAGTCAAATGAGACTATTACAGACTGTTTCAAGCCAGTTGATTTTGTATATTATTTGGTCTTTTGCTGTGACTTTGTTTCCACTGGAAAACAACAAAACAGTGTTGAAGGCCTTAGTTCGGCAAAGCCCTTACACATACTTTTAAATCCCTTAAGTATCATTGAAAGGCAGCGTCCAATATCCTACACAGGCACATCTTTTAACCCCCCACGTTGTTCTCCAGTGGGAGACATCTGCATCTATATCTTCCAAAACGCAGGATCCCAGGCAGAAACACGGCAAAACAGGAACATCCCCCAGACTCTAACTGCTGACAGTCACAGATGACAGCACTCCCTGCTCAAAGAGTCTGCTTTGTATTAACAAATGTGACATTTTTGTTACAATCTTTTCTCTTCAGATTAAAGTGAGAACAGAACAAGAAAGATATGAACCAACAGACAAAATCAATTTATTGATTGAAACGGACCACGTGGGAACAGTTGCCTTGGCTGCAGTTGATAAAGCAGTTTTTATTCTGAACAAGAAAAATAAGCTTACAGCCAAAAAAGTAAGATATCTGTAAGAAGAAAATATCATATCTACTGGTCAGGCAAAATTTTCCATGACTAATGAGAGGATCCAAATGTAATTAATGGCTAACGATTGCTTAATCACAGCTTTGCTAAACTTGAAAATGTTTTTGCTTTTGCAATTTAGGATCTATTTAAGTTGAATGATACATTTAAGATGGCGATTTCCATGCTACAGCAGACAAGTTTATAATTTAAAAAGCATTACTTGAAAGCATTCCCTAGCTAAAGCATCCCTCAGTTTTAATCTGTTTCCAAATGCAACTTCTACCACCAGTTTGTTTTGCTTCTGCAAGTCAAAGGCTACAAGATTTTTTTAATATATATTAAAATGAAAAAAACAACTTTTGCAAGTGTGTACAGTCCATTTATGCTATTTTATTTGACAGGTATTTAATGCTATGAATTCGTATGATCTTGGATGTTCTGCAGGTGGTGGTGCAGATAGTGTTCAAGTTTTTACTGATGTTGGTCTGGCCTTTTTATCAGACACAATTAAATCAAATATTCGGAAAGGTAAGTGCAATCAGCCCTTTACATAAACATTTTATTGTGATGTTGTAAGATCTCCCTTGCTTGTGGATTTTTCTTCTTCTGTTCTTCCACTGAGCATTAGCAGCTCATATAGCCCAGATCGTGGCTGCTGGTCCTTTGGTGCCCAGCTCAGCTGGGGCGGACAGCGGTTGGCTCGGGCTGTAAACTAACTTGACAAGCTGTTCATCTTCTGTGAATGAGAGTCCTAAGATGGGTCTTCCATGAATGACCTGAATGATCAGTCTGCTGCTGTCATACTACCATGACCAAGCTCTTCTGTTCTGCTTTCCCAGACTATAAATGCCTCCAGGTTACCAGAAGGCAGAAGAGATCTTTGGATTTTCAGAAGAAAATGTCAGGAATTGGTATGTCTGCTCATCTGGGTGGCCTGAAAGGCTTAGCAAGGTTAGGCAAAGGGAACTGGCCTGAATCTAGGGGTCAAGAAGTGATAAGATAGTAAAGGATACCAACATATTCATAGTACCAGTTCTTGCGTTAAGTGCCACAACCTAGCACAAGTGTGTATAATATGCCGTGTGACCTGATCTATCATCTGTCAAAACAATCCAAACAACAAAACCAAAGAGCGGCCTGTCTGCAAATGGAAAATAATTCACCATTTTATAATCCCAAATGTGAAGTACTTCTACTAGGTATCGTGTCATGGAATCAGTCATGGCTTTAAAGTTTTGCAAAATTATTTGTATGGCCAGAAAATGTTTTATAGATTTTTTTTTTCTTCTGACATTGTGCTTTGAAGTTGTGCCAGCTTTGGTACTTTGTGGTCCAATTAAGAGAAGAGCTAATATAATATTTGGTCTAAATTAAAAAAAAAAAAAAATGCAAATTGATATTTCCTTGCCAGAAGACACGAAGGCTTGAAGCTGGGATCTTCCTCACTTTTGAAATCAGTCTCTATTCAAGAATGAGAACACTGCCATGGCAATTTCTATCCAGATATCTAATTCCAGTCTGCCAATGAGGCATTTTTAATTCACAGTCTGAATTTGAAGAGAAAGCTTAGAATAGAATATCTAGGATGACATAGGGCCGAGGCTTTCCTCCTGTGTTTGCAAACTGTTTTTAGCAGGGAGAACAGGTCACTGGCTGAAAGTAGACTATTGCAATAGCAACTAACATTAACTGCAAAGAATGACAGGAATGAGCACAATGGACACTTTTGCACGTATTGCTACTTCCACAGCACTAATTCTGGGCTTTAATTGTATTGCAGCCAGCAAATATCAAAACACTGATCTACAAAAATGTTGTGAAGATGGCATGAAATTAAATCGCATGAGGTTTTCTTGTGCAAAAAGGCTAACAAAGGTGGCTGGCTCCCCTGAATGCAGAAGAGCCTTCCAGGACTGCTGTGAGAAAGCCACAGCCCTCAGGAAGCAGCAGAAGCGGATAATCAGAGTGGGCTTAGCACGACGTAAAGAACAGTGGCATGCAACTGTCTAAAGAAAAATACCCTTCCTATGGTGGCAAGGGAGGGTTAATGGGCATTTAATGCTGTGGGGCCAGTGGGGAATTTTCACATCACCATTTCAATGAGCCCTGGTATAGTGCAGCACCCACACACCATTGCCTCTTCACAAACAACATACACTGTGAAGGTGGGAGTGGGATGGGAGAACTTCTTGGGGTGGGAAAAGAAATGGTTTTAGCTGCCTTTGGACCCAGTACAGCCTTAGGGAGGAGCTGCTGACATCTGCCCTCACACTTGGGAGGCTCCAAGCAGTGGAGCAGAGGAGGTGGTTGTCTCCGTTCAGGGCTCTGAGTGATCTCAGGTTCATGACTGTTTTATTAGTGGTACTGCTGTTAAAACACCCGAGAACCTCCAAAACACTGCCTGATGAGAAGAGGCCACTTCAGCCAGAGACAATTTTGTCTCTTTCTTTGTTTCTTCTTCCCAAAGTCTATTGCTGATCATACAGGAACTCATGTCACACACAAAACATATTTCATGTTGAAAATGACCATATTGAAGTGTAATTTCTGCTACAGTTTTTCTCAGAGCTCCCTTTACATGTTCTGTCTGTCACAAATATGGGAAGGTGGCAACACCTTTGCTGCACATTATTAAAAGGAAATATTTTCTTCCTTGGCAGTGTATAGTTATTGAACTTGGCAAGAAGAGTTATCCTTCTGTTCAATGATAATCTTTAGTCATTGCTTCCCTTTTTTCAGCTTTTTTTTTTTTTTTTTTTGTTTAATGCACAAGATGAACTTCAGATGAGGTATTTTTATTCAGGGTATTATTCATGCTGCTTTCTCTCTGACAAACTCACTCCTTGCAAGACAGTTTAAGGTCAGCAGCCAAAGACTTCAGAACAGAAACCCCACTCTTGTTTTACAGACTATGACGACAGTGAAGAAGTGTTTCACGAAACCTCTGTCAGCTTGCGCAGTTATTTTCCTGAGAGCTGGTGGTGGAATACTGAAGAAGTGAAAAACTCTGGAAACCATAGGTACTGTATCACCTGACTCACTGAATATGTCTAAATTTGTACAGTAAAATGTACATAAATATCAGTTTTACGTGTTATCTGATACAGGGGATTTCAGAATATTTGCAAGTACTTTGTCTCCACAACCAAGGGAATATTTTTCTTCCTTACAATACTCAAGCTTCAGGAAATTACAAACTTTACATTTTATACATCTTTCCTAATACGTTTTATTTTGTGTTTCTTAGTGTACAAAACTTTGCTCCTGACTCTATAACTACCTGGGAAGTTCAGGCAATAAGCATATCTCCCCAAACAGGTATAAGTATTGGGTATTTTGTTGGGTTTCTTTGTACAGATGAATAGAGAACATTTATTTTTTAAAACAGATACACAATGTTATGTTGACAGAGTGAGACAGTCTGTACTGAAAAACACCTTGTGTTTTGATCATGATGTTTACTCCTCACTTTTGTGCCGTATTAAAGCCCAGATAGAATTTAAGGGATATATTATTTATAAAAACAACAAACATGAAGTGTACTCTGAAGCAGGACAGATTATGCAATCAAAGCTGTCTCCTATTCTTTCAAATTGATAAACCAGTTTTATCTTCTGCACAGCCAGGAAGCCACAAGAAATGTAGCAGTAATAACACTGCTTTTATTTGAATATTTCTGGGAGTGATTTCTCGCCATCTCAGAAAAGCATTCAAGTCTTTAGTCTCTGGAAAACCAGAGAAGAGAAGAGCACCAGGAGACTGGCAGAAGACACCAAAAAGCCCAGGTTCCCAGGTGCTGCTCTCTGAGAGCTCCTGGGGTTGCCCAGCACCATGCAGGAGAGACAAAGGGTCCGCCTGGTACTGCCCACTCCCCTTTGGAAAGGGAGGCTCATCCAGGGAGATGGGCATGGAGTTTATATATATATATATCGAAAGCAAGGAAAGGTCATTATGTTTTAAACATGACCTTTGCAGGAAAGCTGGGCCACATTTCACTCAAAAGCTGCAGATACTCCTGCTAAATTTTACCTATCGAAAACCATGGCAGTGACTCCGAGGGCAAATCATCCACCTCTGAGATAGGTCTCTAGTCCAGGGTTGTTGAAATGCTCTCTGGGAATGCCTGTCTCTGTCTTCTGCTCTTGACCTCAGGGAAGCCCAGGCAGTGAGTTTTGATCAGACATCCAACTTTTTGTCAGTTGCTATTAAGTTGTGTAATTCTCAACTCTGTTTTTTTTCTCATCCCAGGATTTTGCATAGCTGATCCCCACACCTTTGAGGTTTTCAAGGACTTTTTTGTGTCCCTGAGATTGCCGTACTCAGTCAAACGACATGAACAACTAGAAATAAAAGCTGTGGTTTACAACTATCTGCCCAGGGACCTCCAGGTAGTATTACTGTGAACTGTGCTACACATATCTAGCTAGCTAGACATATAGCAATGCAATAACTTAATGTAAATGATCCAGCCACCTTTCAGTGCCCTCCTACAGCCCAGACACCATACTTCCACTTTAAAAGTCTACCTAAGGACAGGATCCAGCTCTACTCGCTAATCAAACTTACTGTATAAAACAGATTTCATTTACCACATTACACAACCAAATTCCTTGTCTGTGGGTACATCTTCTCCCCCTTCACTGAAGAAACCAGCTACATTTTTGCTGACTGCCACCAGGGCAACACCTGGCTGCCAGTAAAGCGAGTACACAGGATACAGAGGTAAATTAAGAGCACACAATCCAATATGTTAGCCAGAAAATTCATTGTTCATACAATGCAAAGCGACTTTTTTCTGTATATGGTACCTATCCAGCCCTCCATATAGCCACAGTTGCCACTGGGTTTAGGGCCTCTGGGATCCTCAGGCTGATGCTCTTTTTTTCATCTCTTCCCATCTCTCAGACAGACAAATATTTATTATCTCCAAGGAAGAAGACTGAACCACCTCTTCAGACAATCTCTGCCAGCATTTGATTACTTCTTGGTGAAAAAGTTTTCCCATTTTATAGATGGAGAACAGAAAATTCAGGGGGGCACAATAGAAAATACTTTCTGTCTTGCAAAATGTTGTCCACATTGCTATTTCTTTTCTAAGCAAAAGCTAAAGTCCCTTGTGATATTTGTTTCTCATTTCCTGTACTTACCTAGACATGATGGAGCTGGATTATTTTTCCTTTGTGGTGATGCACTAAGCCTGATCACAGGCATTGCCTTGTCCCCACAGGTTACAGTGACGATGGAGGCAGTGAAGGGGCTGTGCACTGCAGAGGCAATGGAGAAGGCTGTGCAGACGACGCTGGTGTCTAACAGGAACTCTGCAACACCAGTCTACTTCTCAGTTGTCCCTCTGACTGTGGGAGAAATTCCAATTACTATTAGTGCTTCTGACGCAGTTTCTGGGTACAGTGATTACATTCGGAAGAACCTCAATGTTGTGGTAGGTATAACCAGTTGAGGGCAGGCACTTCACAAATGTGTGTTTCTCCTCAAATGTAGTAATCATGACGTGTGGAGCTCTCATGGAGGGATTGAAATCCTGGAAACATAAGGCTTTAAGCAATGTCAGGAAACCTGTTTCTCAGCAAGGACTAAGGTATAGCATGGGGAAGAAGTTTAACCCTGTGATAAGTTTGTGAGTAGTGTATATGGAAAGAATTGCTCTGTAAGCCAAAAAGGCATCCTTCTACCCATGATATAGAAACAACTTCCTTCATACAGTCAGTGCTCATCTCTTGATCTTTAATTTCCACCTGCTTCATCAGTATTTATAAAAAGCCTTTTTTCCTTATGAAGCCAAGATTGATGATCATCTAGTAATATATTGAGAAGGAAATAGCCTCTGCTAGACATATAGTTTAACCCTATGTTATTCTTTCTAATTAATGGATCATCAAGCTTAACAATTGCATAGGTAAAACACATACAGGCAGACAAAGATGTTATATTGATATACTTTGGTTATCTTTCAAAATGATGAAAATGATGAGACTTTTAATAAAGATGACTTTTTGAGAATCAACACTGACTAGCACAGACTCATTACAGAACCCAAGTAGCCCACTAAGGGCAATTTTCAACACTCAGAAAGTGCAAAATAAGAAAACTTATATCATTTATGTCAAAGTATAGCCATGTGGATAAAGATAACATGTGGGATTCTGGGAACCTGTTGTTGTCACAGGCCATAACTTTTCTAGTAATAGACACAGTCTCAGAGTTCAGTCTTACACTAAAACTGTCCATAAAAATAACTTTATTAAAATGTAGACTGCTGGAAGAGGAATGAGTGGAAATTAGAAGGGAAAAAAAAAAGTCTGAGTTTTACCAACAAAATAAACTCAGAACTTGCTGGGTTTCATAGATGAGAGGTTTATAAGGTGAGTCCACCTGTGAACTTGACTTTCATGGCTTACAAAGCAGAGAATAAACTTTGAAGTTTAGTTTTTCTGGGTTATTTTTGGTTAAAGAAATTTCATCCAGGAAATACGTCAATAATAACAAAAAAGTCAGTAAAGTTCACTAGCATTTCAATTGGGAGACTGAAATTCTGATTTCAAGTTTCATTTTTACCTGGAGAGAAATCTCACTCCAAAATAACCTGTTTCTGCCATCTGCTGGTCTAGTGTAAGGGTGGAGATCATGGCTTTCATGCAGCTTAATTTCAGGAGTGAGTGCTTGCAAAATTTTTTACTTTTCTTTCCTCAATTGTACAGGCTGAAGGTGTTTTACAGAGAGAAGAAAAGACCATTTGCATTAATAGTGGCTGTAAGTTACACAGAAGAGCTATATACAGATGGGGCTTGGGGTAGGGACAGGGGTTGTAAAGTCTGGTGTGACTATCTGACAGGTGCAGTGAAATATTTCTTAACACACAAATGTTGCTTAGATTGACCAAAACTTCTCACAAATCTCTTCATCCAATACATAGCAAAAGACTCAGGAAAGAAAAATCATGTAATTCTAAATGTTTGGAGTTGATTTGTATTACATCTGTGATTCAAGGAAGCATTCTTTAAATATTAAGTAGACATCTCTTTTATTTACTAGTGGATCTTAAAAGGTATTTAAAAAACAAGACTCATTTCAAGCCAAAAAATATTGCTAATGATCAAAAATTAAATCAGTTTAAGAAAGATAAACATATTATTTTAATAAATTTCCATTTAACATTTATGATAAGATTTCTGTCATAATTGCCATTAACTATGAGATGTTTAATGAAAAGCATGTTCTAAAATGACACTGTATGTTTTTATGTTTAAAGAGTTTGGATGTAAATCTCTGTTTATTATTTATTTACAGTAAAGTCCTATACACTAGACCTGAACAGACCACCTGATATGATACCGGGTTCTGATAGTCACGTCTTTGTTAGCCTGAAAGGTAAACGTAATTTTTTGTCAATAATTTTTCCATAGGTGACGTACATGCCCCGTTGTTCTGCTCATTCCTGAACACAGTCTCCAGTTCCCTCCTGGTTTTTCTGCCATGACTCAAACAATCTGTGCTGCATGCCCAGGTCATAAAACAAAACAGCCTCAAGGCTGATCCATCACCTTTCCTCTTTCTAATTACTCCTTCTCACTCATATTGGATATAATAGCTTCATGCAAACCATTCTACCTCTCTGTACCCAGGCTAACTTTATGGGAAGGCCAAAGGAGAAGGGAAGAGTTCACCTTCTCTAGTAAACCCACACTGCATGTAGTTCTGTAGAAATCTGCTTTATTCTTCAGAAATAAGGATGCCAGACTGTAAGATCTGTAAAGTTCTGTTTTTCTAAACAGAAGATATGTGCAATCACATATTCATTGAATCAAATAATCATATACATACATATAAATATATATATACATACATGCGTATTCTAAAGACATCTACTAGCAAGTACTCTCATTAATGACAAAAACTTTTTTTTTCCCCAGAAAATGTAAAATAATGCATACTTGACACAAAGGCTATTGGCTTCCACTTCAAATCCCTGTTCTAAAGTATGGGGATTCTTGAATTAATCAAATGAGAAAACCACAGAGGGGCAGGGGGGGAATTAGCACAAAATGTTTGGCATGATTAAGGCACAATCTTTTTGCCCTCTGTGGGAGGATCAAGTCTGGTTTGACAAGACTTTTTCAGCCTGAACCTGAAGCACCAGTCTTTCCCCCATCCTTGCTTCCCTGCCTCCAGCAGCCTCAGGACTCTTTCTCCTCCATACCCCTTCCCTGCCATAGCCTCCTTTCTCCAGTGTTCTCAGGGCCTGGCACCTCATCCTTGTCCTTCTCCAGACTTACAAAGTCATAAGTAGCTGAAAACTGTGTTTAATAATAAGTGTCAGGGCACACTGGAGTGTCATCAACCCATAGTTACTATCACTTTTATTCATGTTATATCGGACAGCTTCAAATACAATATGTATTATGGCTTGTGTTTTTTACAAAAGGGAATATTATGGACGAGTCTGTTGAAAATTGTCTCAGTCTCACTGGAGTTGAGAAACTTATTCAAGTGCCCACAGGCTGTGCAGAGCAAACAATGGTGAAAATGGCCCCTGCAGTCTATGCTATTGAGTACTTGGATGCCAGTGAGCAGTGGCTGAACTTTAATCCTGAACAGAAGGAGGAAGCCATTACAATGGTTGAAAAAGGTATGCAGAAAAAAAAAAAAAAAAAAAAAAAATAAAAATGAACGTTGTATTTTTTATTCCTTTT